CCTGTTAAAAGGGAGTTTTTTCTTCCCACTGTCGCCAAAGTGCTGCTCATAGGGGGTCATATGATTGTTGGGTTTTTCTCTGTATGTATTATTGTAGGTCGACCTTACAGTATGAAGCACCTTGAGGGGACTGTTGCTGTGATTTGGCGCTGTATAAATAAAAGTGAATTGAACTGGGGGGGTTTTCTAACTCTGTGTGTGTGCGTGTGTGTGTCCTCAGGTCTGAATACGTACACAGAGGGACTGGGATACATCAAGTCTCAATATGAGAGCAAGAACAAGTCACCCAAGAAAGAAGTGTACTCCCACGTGACCTGTGCTACGGACACCAACAACATCCAGTTCGTCTTTGACGCCGTCACTGACGTCATCATAGCCAATAACCTCCGGGGGTGTGGCCTGTACTGATGATGCTGTTAAACTTTGGCCAATGGATGCTGGGTGTTTGACTTGTATGTGAGAGCCGGTCAACTGTGGGACCTGAGCTGTGTTCATGATGTCATAGTTCTCATTTCTCATACTGGCCCAGTTTGAATTAACTGGTTGGTTGTTGGTGGTTGGTTGGCTGAGACGTCTTATCTTTATCCTAATTAAGAACCGTTATTTTAAGCTTCTAAAATCTGTTCTCGCTGCAGATATTTTGCACAATACCGAAGCTGAGAAGCAGAACGAGAGACCAGCTGAGCCGAACACAGTCTGGTGTACTGAATCACTTTTTTCCCATTTGTGTTCATATTTTTGTATCATAAATTTGTGCCTTATTTATACCAAAAGTCGACGCAAACGTGCGTATGATTAGTCTTAGTGGGGGTCAAGTTTAGCTAATTCAAAGCTTTAATCAAAACTGACTTTGTTGCAGGCATTTCAAGTACTGAGTGTAAACTTCAGAGCTGTTAAATCGAGGAAAATAATTGTATGATATTTTCAGAGTAGTAGAGTTTTGGGGGTTAAATTCCCAGCAGTATTTGTGCCCACTAAGAAGCTGAGGGGGAGTTACAGCAAATGATAAAAACAATAATCGATAATGAACTTGGAATATTTAAATGGGATTGCCACTTTTACGTAAAGTTCCCATAGTAAAAACAGAGTGCACCCTGGTCACTAGTGGGTGGTCCACAGGGACACCTGAGACACCTGCTGACGTCATTCTAAAGAGTCGAGCTGTGAGAACATATCACAAATCTTACCGCTGTGCTTTTAACCTGCGATGAAACTGTGTAGATTTCAGTAAACCTCCTGATTCCTCTTCTGATTGGATCTGATTTCATGGTGTAAACGAGCGCATAAAGAGGACGTTGTTGCTCGAGCCACGCCGCTGACATCGTTAATCTCTGCAGACGTCACTCCTGGCTGCAGGCTCATCTCGCTTCTTGCGCGGGACTCCTTAAAATCAATTGAAACAAAGAGTCGCAGAAGCTCTTGCCGACTCCCGCGGACAGTTTCCGCCTAGATAACGCTTCAGCACAAGTACTGCCATTTTTGGGAGCATTTCAAGTTGATATACATCAATACAACCATTACAGCCCAAATTTTAATAATATGTCTGCATTAAGTGCATAGTAATTACATAAATTGCAAAAAAGGGCAATAAACTACAAAAAAATTGAAAATCGTTTTTGTTTTTTTAACATATATTTCTAGTTAGAGAAATTTAAGAGGCTTATCCCTCAAAACTGTAAATACAAAAAAGTTGCACAAAATAGTTTCCCACCACAGGAAATTTATTTTGAGTGTCTTCATAGTTTTATTTTTGAAATACACCAATTTTTATACACTGCAGGAAAAACGAAAATAAATATTATAATGCAAATTTGCAAAAAAGCAGCATATGCATCAAAATAAACTATTTCCAGCAGTGCAATATGAGTCCTAAGCATCCCAGAAACCACACAGAAAGTCATAAAGTCAAACATAACTTTTAAAAACACCAGTATAGGCCTGACACAGTGGATGCGGTGCACCATGCAATATCCCTGCTGTCCTCCAGTCCACCTTAATAAACCAGAGGTGAGCTTTGAAAGATTACAGACTGATGTGTTCGTCCTCTGGGACACGAACGTGACTACGGTTGTGTCCACGCTGTTCTCCTCGTATCTCGACGTCTGTTTGGAATTGATCAGAAAACGAACAGAGTGACGGGCGCTGTTCTGACCCAGCTCAGAGAGATCAGTGCTGGAGCTACGTCATTGGTTCCTCCGCGTCGCCACAGTTAACCTCGTCACATAGAAAGTGTTTGTGATGGCGCCGACGAAGCTGAGCATCTTTATTTAAGAGAAGGGCATTCGCACGCACAAACAACCAGATGTGTTTCCTCTGCTCAGAGCCGCCGTTTGTGGAGCACAGGTAGATGTCGTCATCATCGGCCCGCCCGACCACATCTGTGCCAAATTTAGAAACAGAGCGCTCCCCGAGGCCGTCGTTCAGCCTGCATGCTGTGTGCTGATGTGTGTTTTGTGTGTTCATGTTTTCAGATTGTATATAGTTACCTACATGTGTCTGTTGATGGTACAGAAAAGGTCACGGCGTGTGTGTGTTGTGTAAGAGGCGACATCAGCCCATGGGTGCTGCGGTGGAGTCAGCATCTGTGGATTAATTACCCAGAGGGCACCTATCTACCCTTTCAGCACAGACAGGCCTCAGACACACAAACACACTCACGGGGCTTCAAAATGTCACAACACCTTCGTTGCCAAATAATCCTGCAGTTTCCAGCCAAAGAGGTTCACGCGGCCGCACAGCGAGCCGCTGCCACGACTGCTGAAGGCGTTTCATCGTCGTCTCCTGACCGATCTGCTGCATGTAGAGAAACGATCTCTGCGTCCTTAGTTTTCACTTCATTCATTCGCTACACTTTGCATGAAGCTTCTGTTGCTTCCAAACACAAAGCGTTTAGTGTTGACAGGCTGAAATCGGTGCTTAATCCCATCGATCCAAAAATCAAAGTTCTTCTATAGATTCGGATTTTTTTCCTAAACTGGGGAATGATCGCGTACAGAGTTCAAACACGACCCTTTCCCTCCCCGTCTATGCAGCGCAGAGCTTAATATCATTGCAATGCGGTGGCAAAATCAAGCCTTTTTTTTCAAACACTCATGCAGGTGGTTACATGTGGTTATAATGATTCAAATGCAGTAAGTTTGTCATATAAATATAGTCTATAACTTAATTATTGTCTGTAGCCCACATAATTAAACACTTTAGTTACATAAACAGTTTTGATGTTATGTCCTGTACAGCCTGTATGATAAATAAACATGTAGCCCAATAAGTATAAACTCCAGAAAGCTACACAACATGGGTTCATTTACAAACACAAGTCTGACTGAAGTTTCACATTGTTACAGCTGAAATTACACAAAGTGTCAGAAATCTGCACTGTCATGAACACAAATTTAAACCTAATTTTTCATGATTTGTTGGATTCACCCTCTGAGGTCTGAAATACAACCGGACATTTTTGACTCCTTTTGAGTTCACGTTTGTATTTCACCCTCAGATTGTTTCATTTTAAAAACAGGAGGTGTATCACTCCGCTGGTTTTCTACTCAGTGTTTACGTTGCACTGTGCCTTTGTGACATTCATCAGTGCCCTCACTGACACACAAAACAAAACAACTAAACAACAGAACAGCTACACAACACAACACACTAAGTAAACACTCCACACTAAACGTCACAAATCTCCCACATCTAAAAACTGTCTCTCTCTCTCTGTCTCTGCCGTTACCGTCACTCCCAAAACTTTTCCCTCTTCCTAAACAACCAAATCCCACATGTTGACTTTTTTTAAAATTGGTCACATGGTGCATTTTTCCACCAATAGGAAAGAGGTGCTTATTCCTTTCTTTACTGTTTTCGTGCTGTCCTTAAAACGCTTAAAACACAAACACACACAAACGTGACAACAGTGTTTAGAACAAAGCGTGGCTGATATATATCATCATAACTCTGGATTTACTGGCCTGTAATTAAAATTTAAAAACTTTCAACGTGGGCTGAAAGACTCAGCGTGGCTGCAGCTTGTTGCTGTGTCAGCT